ATCTATTTCTTTCAAAAGTGTTGCGCCAGGTTTACGTTAAGTGGCTTTCGTCCACTGATGTCGCACCTTCGGATCGATTAGAAACGTGTGAATACATACACTATGACTATACGTTTCACTGCAACTGCCCTCAACACAACACAACAACTAAAAACTCTCTCTCAAAAAAAATAAAATAGACAACAAAAAAATGAAAAAACGCTGACCGAAAAATGTGTATCGTTTAAAACTATACTGAATGACGGCTCGGGGGTATGACTTCCTCTCACATTTTTGTCATTTGGTGGCGCACTTTCGGCGAGAGTCGGAAATCCGGAAACAGTCGACCGTTTCAGGATAGGTGGGCGTGGCTACAACACGAGAAATATCCCAAATTTACTTGGATACGAGTAATCATTTTCAGCAAAAAAGTCAAAAACTGCCCATTTCAGTGGGACACATATCTAAAATGGGAAACGTGAGGGTGGGCATTGCACAGGCACTTTAAGTTTTGGCTATAAATGTTACAGGCCCCAACATAAATGAAATCCACAAAAGTACACACAGTACAGAGAATAGGGACTGTCACACATGGTACAAAACATAGGCTGGCCTTTGCCCTAAAAATCAGCATTAAATTTGCTGCAAAAAAAATTACATCATGTTATTCTATAATCTTCAGGAATGCAGCCAGGAATGCAGCCACAGCCAGGAATGCAGCCTCAGCAGCCAGTCCCCCAACAGCCCGGCCAACCTGTGCCACCTCCCCAGCCAGGCCAGCCAGCTCAGCTCCCTGTACAACAAACACCATATCCACCACAACAACCAGGTTATCCCGCCCAGCAACCAGGTTATCCCGCCCAGCAACCAGGCTATCCCGCCCAGCAACCACAGCGAATAGCCATCACGGAAGACGACATCAAGGATATGCAGGAGATGTTCCCAAATATGGAGAAACAGGTCATTGTATCAATTTTAGAAGCCAACAGTGGCAACAAAGAAGCCACAATTAATGCTTTACTGTCAATGAGTGACTAACCTTCCACCTCTAAAATACCACCAAATGGTACATTCCGATTATGGAAAACAGTGAGATTGTACCAATATATATAATTGCACAGGGGTGTTTGGGAATATCACCTCAGATTTTTACGTACATGATCATATATTTGGAATACTAAAAATTAAATCATGAATCGCCTAATTTCACACACTGTATATTTTGGATTATACCCTGGTATTATTATCATTTGAATAAATGTTAAAAATAACACTTGCTATGTACTTCTGAAATTTTCTCAAATCAAAGAATATTTTTTGTCGGCAATTCACGGCATTATATCCACTGATATTGTTTCATTTCATAATTGAGTTGTACCTAATATCATAGTGATTCATAATCAAAAACCTGACAATTTTGCATACTGGATTTGATTTACGATAGTACAAATTTTGAATATCACAGACAATATTCAAATTGTACCAGAAAAAGTCAATTAAATATTTAATTAATTGTCGCATAATTATAAGTTTTTCTGCAAAAATGTAGGTACTATGTAATGGCGTAGTATCTCTATTTATTTTCATGTTTGTCTCAATGGACAACCAGTTTTCATACTAGTATTTAGTTGGCAGAAGTGGTTGTCAGGGACAACCAGACAACTTCCAATTTTGATTCCTGTTGCATCAAAGTTTATAATTGGATCGAGTATACTTAAAGTTCCCTTGTTTGTGTCAAAAGGGTTTGCATCCTGGTTGTCATTGGTTACCCTATCACCAGTTATGTGACTTGTGCAGAGTTTTGTAATTTGAGTTTTATAATGACATGTCGATAATTTATATCCAATTTTAGCAGCTTTAGTGAAGCTGTAATAAAATATGATGAATGTATGTTGATGTAGTGTTTGTAATTATTGCATTGTGGGTAATATATCCTAGCATTTGTTAACCTTTTCACCACCAGTTCCCTCTTTTCATCCCAAATTTACAAAATAGTCCTGTTTATAGTCTGCACTTTCCTTCAGAAAATTGGAACAAAAAGAGCCAAATTTTTTTTAATAAAAACTGAAAATTGATTCAAATTTTGTGGGTTGGCTCCAAAATTAGGGTTCATTTCCAGAAATGTTGAAGAATAGAGGAAAAAAGTGAGTGGTGTACAGTATTTTTCATTGTTCTACACCCGGGTTCAGTCTGACTAAATTTCCAGTCTCTGCCTGCACATATGGAGTTGTCATTCATGTCTGTTAGACTGCCCTCAATGATTACTGTCCTTGGCAGCATTGTTGCCATTACCCAGAACTGCTCAACTCTGGTGTTCAATACTGCTTCTGTTCCCTGGCAATCTCCAGAACTTCAAAATCTGGGGGCCTGGACAAATCAACCCAAATTTTGGTATAAAAATGTCTGATGCATAAAAACAGTGAGCAGGGGACAGTCTTTACGACATATTTGCTGAACTGACATGATTGTAAGTAGAACTATTTCCAGTTATAGTATGATTATGAAACAAAATCGGTATGCAGTAAAGAGATCAATCGGCTAGAATGAAGCAATTTTTATTTCAGGTCAAAGTTCATCTGGAGCACTGCATTCTGGGATATCCCATTTGTCACATGATTGATCATTAGTAACACACAATCGGTCCAGCTGAAATAAATTACTGAAATTTACAGAGAGAATATCAAATCTTAAAAAAATCATTGGTGTTTTTTTTTTCTACATTGTGTTTCAAATCATCTGTTAAAAAATTAGCTCAAATAGATCCACAAATTCAGATTAATTAAAGTCCCTAACACAGATGTTTCTATCCACGGTTCATTTTCAATAACCATTATTAATTGGAGGATGTAGTCTAATACAGAAAATTTGTCCTCTCTGCAGTATTTGGTTGTATGAGATGATTTATTTATATATTTTACAATAAATCATAGAAAAACCTTTTTAAGGTATCGTATGTATGTGTATGTGCTACTAACAGAGCAAATACTGTACAGGAAAATGCAAAACAGTTGAAAACCATAAATTAGAATTAATGCGTCTCATTTTCTTTGATTTAAATAATTGTGATATATCTAGTAAACAAATTGGAAGGTCTACATAGCTGTGTATGTGTGTGTTTTTCAGCTGTTACCATATCATTCTATAATTTTTAAGATACAACGAGCACAGCATTATATAAAAAATATAAAAAAAAAATTATGACTTTGAATCTTGTCACGAATTTTCAAGATAATTTAACATTTGAAATTTGCTGAAAGGCACAGTGCTGATTCATATGCAACTGTTAAATATGCAAATGGCTTATAAATATGCAAATGAGTTGAAATCATTTGGAGAGCTCAGATGAGGTAAGTTATAGATTCCTATGTGGCACTTGGCACCACGAATAAAAATAACACTCAATTTCACCAATACATGTAGCACACACTGTTAAATATATATATATTAAAATCACTTTTCATGTATAAAGCAAATTACCATAAATCAAAAAATACAATTTATAATTCACAATTGCATTGATTGGCTGCAGATCTTTCCCTAAATTTATAAATCACATTGTCAAAATAATTATTACCCTTAATTATGATGTAATTTTATTCAACTAAGGAAATTTTAAACAATTACATTCACATATGATGTGCATTGACTTTTGTTGCTTCTTATTTTTGTCCAGTAATTCTTGGTAATTGCATAGATTTAAAGCGGGAGAGTCATCACCTGCGCATGTGTCAGATAGCCATAGCGTGTCATTGTTTAAAAGTGTCTACCCCTGAGTCTTTGCGATTTTAGCGTGTGTTGTTATCGTCGCTTGGGACTCGCTTTAACAAAACAAGGATATTCTGAAACGGCATATTAGTTTGGATGCCTTTGTGGTTATGGGTTTTTAACTGTATTCAGATACAATAATGAATTGATACTCAGTCTGTGTGTATCCCATCACCAGTGTCAATAGTTTCATACAATATACACAAGCAGGTACATACTGTACAGATTCTGTCCTCTGATATGTCAGTTTCCGCAACTACACATTCAGCAGCGCTGAATCTCATTTCTTTGTTTTCTGCTTCTCCTTAATTTGATTCTGTTTGCTGCTTTGCTGTTTGTGTTGTTCGTGGTGAGAAGTCTGTTGCTGCACTCTCTCTGTCCGAGTGCTCTTCTGATGAACAGATTCCTCCTTATGGATACTACTTTCCTGTTGCACTTTTTGCGTTTGTTGCACTTTTTCTGTTTGATGAGTTTCCATCTTTACGGTTTGCTCTTGATGAACTGTTTTACTTTGATGAATCTCAGTACTTTTCTGTTCCTGATTTTTCTGCGTTGACTGCTGTTGGGTCTTACGCTGTTGCTGTGTCCCAGTCTTTTTCGACTGCATGTCTTCGGAATTTTTTCCTATCTGCGTGTGGCTTTCTTTTTCAGCTTCTCTCCCCTGCTTTTGCTGTTGATATTGTTGATAGCGTTTCGCCCTCACGATGTTCAAATGTTTTTTAATGTACTCTTCATTTGGCGCCATGTCAGAGACTGCAACCAGACATGTTTCTGCTTTTGCCAGATTTCCTTCTTCCACATAGACAACACACAGATTGTGGTTTGCTTGTATATTTTTTGGTTCAATTTCTAATATGGTCTCGTAACACTGTAATTAGATGATAAAAATAT